TTTTTCAAGTAATTTAGCAATGAAAATATTAATATATTCTTAAATTACAGCTGCATATATTAAGTCAATTTGGTAAGGGACATCTGAAAAATGACCATCTTTCTAAAAAAAAAAAATGGAAAATGACCATCTTTCTAAATTCGCCATTGTTCCCTCAAAATGTTCTGGACAAAAGTTTTGCATTTTCCCATTTTTTTCCTCTCTCTCTCCTTTTTCCTTCCCAGAAACAAAGCCCCATTGTGAGCCCTGGGTTGGGACCTGGTGGGGGAGCAACAGGGAGTGGCTTCCTCAGCCTCAAAACTTTACTCATAATGAGCCGAAGTCTATAATTGCATATATTGAGGAAAGACATGTCCTATATGTTAGGGTATGGCGTATTAAATCTCTATTGGGAGACCTACCCCAGATATAGATTATTGTCTCTCTAGCCCTATGTTTTGGAAACTAATCCTTGGTTTCCCCAAATATACATATTATATTTGATGTACAATTAATGGCATTACATTACTGAAAAATTCAACCAAATTCGCTTTTAGAGGGACTAAGTGCAAAGGATAACATTTTTCATTTTGAAGAACAGTTATGAAGCTAAAATAAGATATCTCCCCATATGTATGGCCTCTCTCCATGGGAGGCAGGGGGCATCCTTCCAGGTGCAAACTCAGAGGGGAATGTAGGTAACTTTGTAGTTCCTGTTAGTAACTGAAACATTGGAGGGATTTATTTTAAGGTATTCCTGTAGAATGTATGCCAAATATAGCATTATATTAAAGGTTCCACATAGTAACTAAAAACTATGGATTACTCTTCTGAAATGCTGCCTCCAAATTTCTGGTTAACTTTCTCAATCTGGACATCTTTTTTCTGGCTTTTCACATTTGCCATTGCAGATATCTTTTACAAATCTGGGTCAATATGTATATTCGATATACGTCTTAAGGGTGTCACAATGCTCACACTGGATAATGAAAGAGTGAATAACTTTTTCTCCTAGATTCCTAGTTGTGTCAGGACCTGATCTCCTAAAAAAAAAAAAAAGGCACTCTGACCATTTGGTTGGCTGGAACAGTGGCTTTCATAGTTTGGATGGGCACAACTTTGGATGACATAAAGACGGGTGGTTTGTTTTTAAACTAAATATTGATCAGCCATCAACTATGTGCGAGGAAACAAGCTCAGCACTGGAGAAATGGAGAGGTGAGTAGACCTACTCCCTTTCTTTAAAGAAGCTAGTATGTAGGTGAGGAAAAAAGACATAAAATGTGAATGAAAGCATAACATTATAGGGCTGTTTATGTGGGCTTCAGGGACTACACAGTTAATGATTTTCATGAGAGTTCAAATGAATAGAACAGGGAATATTTCACTGTTGTGAAAAGGAATAAATAACTCTTAGGAAAAATTTGTTATCTTCTCATTGGCATCCCATAATAGTCTGGTCATTACATTGCATAATTTATTCTGAGTGGGTATTATATATATATATACATAGGGTAAATAGAGTGGATATTCTGAGTAAGAAGTTTTTATAAGTCAAAATGTTCAAGGAATACTGCCCAAGTGGGGCATAATTGTAAAGCTAAAATGAATTACCTTCAGATCCTAAACATAATTTCTCTAATTCCTTTGCTATCGCTCCTTTTCCAAGTCATCCCGCCTCACCCAATCACATCACTCTGTATTTCCTGATAAGCAGTGAGACATACTTTGTTGGTGTCCAGAGAGGTATACAGAAGCACCATGGTTTTGTCAACATCCCCACAGTCGTCCAAGGTCACTGGGCCACCATACCCTAGGGCAAAATCAGAGCATGTTAGAGGCCATTGTTGACTTCTTGCTTGACAGACTGGTTGGACTCTGACAGAGAATGTAAAATGGGTTCAAATTACTCTGTTTCAAATTTACTGAAAAATTGTTGACCTTAATGATCTAATCAGAGGGCACCTGGATTGGTTTCTTGACCCTGAGATCTCTGAAGGGTATTTTCATAGGACATGTTATTTAATTGCAAGGAAAAATCTTTTTCATTACATTTAGGATAGCACTAAATGTAATCAGTTAATAAATCCCTCTATTATTAGTGATTCATTTTTTGCTAAGAATATTTCCTAAACTAGTAGCACAGTGTATAGGTCACTGCACAATCTGACTTAGATTATAAAAGGATCAAAATTTTTTCACTATCACTTATGGGCTGAAGACAGTGAAAAAATTACTAAAGTTCTCTGAGTTTTAGTTTTCTCATCTATGAGATAATAGTATAGGATAAACCTATGAAATGTCTGTTCAGATAAAAAATGATCAATTCAGCAATTTCACATGGCTCAACATAATAGCTAATATTTCTTTCATGTTTATTATATACCAGGACCTATGCTAAGAGCTTTATATCATAGAGAATAATTTATCAAATTATTCTCCCTGGATTACCATGATATAGAAATCATTATTATCTCCATTTTATTGATGAGAAATAGTTTATTTAATTTGTAGGTATTAAATAATTTGCCCAGGGTTGTACAGCCGGTAGGTGGCTAAACCAGGACACAAACAAATGTCTCTTGGCTCTAAGCCTGTGCTAGTGGCCATTAGGATGCTTCACCATGATCGTTGAAGTAGGAAATATTAAGAATGCACATAAAGTTCCTGGTAGAACACATGGCATGACCCATAAACGATTATGACTCCCTCCTTTCTTCTTCAGTGAAGCAGAAGTGATCTCTTCCTGTCATTACCATTCACACAGCTGTTGCTACCGCCCTCGGCCCTCATGCTGGACATCTGCTGCCTTCTGCAGCCAACAGAGGAAGACCCACCCTGCGCTAGGGCAATGGTTTCCCAGAGTAAGCCAAAAAAGGCAATTATCATTTGTCTTTTACTTAGTATACATTACATTTAAAAGAAAATTTCTTCATCATCTCTGGATGAGATCTGGGAAATTAAAGATGGGAATTTTAATAGGGGTTTATGGGAAAGGGGAATATTGTTGATCTGTGCAGTTTGGAGGAGTATGTATTGTTTCAGGTGGTATTGTTATGAGGGGATTTGATAGTTACAAGGTTTAACACAGGATCCCAGATCCTTAAAGGACAGAAAGGGAGATGTGGAGGGACCAAAATCAAACTGCAAATATTTCGCTTCTTGCTAGTCTCTAAGCACAGTGAGTACATCACTGCTCAAAATGCCCTATGATGAGCTTGCTCACAAGTACAGAAACTGAGCCACATGCTCTTTCTATGATATCCAAAGATCATGAAAGTCTACAGCATAAATGGCAGTCCAGTTATCAATAATAGAATCCCCAAAGTTTATGCAATGATGTTTGCCTCCAGTTGAGTTCAAAGGCAGTTATTAATAGCTATTGAACCATCTATTGCCAACTCCCTCATCATTTTCCAGTGTCCATTCAGAAAGCCCACATTTCTTCAGCTTTCTTGTTGTTTACTCTTCAGAGACCAGTACCTTCAAAAGTGAGGTTCCTGAAGGCATAAGCAAATTTGGGGATGAGAATTTCTTCTCCATTTTCAAGAAATGTCTTCAGCATGTGTCCAAAGAGCAAGATTCCATTCAAGTAGGCAAGAGCAAAGTCTTTTCCCTGAATGAGAAAGAAAACTCTTAAAATGGGTCCCAAAAAAGAGATTCTAGTCTTGAGCCTGGAGCAAAAGGTTCTTGGGATCAGCAGAGTAACTGGAAAGTTAAAAGGATATTAGAGGAGTTAGAGGGATGTTATTAAAGGAGACTTCTGGAAAATCCCTTCTTGGGTCAGTGCTCTTTATCATCCCATGTCACAATTCTGCCTTTTCTTGGGATCAATAACACAAGAACACTGGTTTCAGGGCAGTAACTATAAGCAGTTATACTTCCTTCCCATAATGATAAAATATACAGTTGCCACCAGAAAAGACAATGTGAAGCATTTTCGTAATTTCTATACGATTTTATATGGAGATAATGTTTTCTTGTAGTTGAATGTTTTCATTAAAGTGAAAAAGAGAAAACAAACAAAAGCAACCCCTGCCTTTCAGTGTCCTGAATGGGACGTGAGCAGGTTGGATTGCATGAGACCACTGAACTTGCTTTGAAGACAGTTCTGGTTGGGTATTACTCCAAGCCCCAATGTCTGCCCCGGGAAAGCAATGGAGAAGGTCAGAACTCCGCTTCCTCTGCAGCTGGTGCATGGTGGTCTTCACAGAACCGAGCTACAAATTATTAATAAAAGCTCTTGCCCTACTGAGATCAACTGAGTACTGTTACCTAGGGCATTTTGGACTGCCCATTTGTGAAGAATCATACTTTTGTCAGAGCTGAGAAGATGATCAAGTGCTATCTGGCTACTACACCCAGAATTATATTTGCTAGGAAATATAAAAAGGAAAAATGAAACTCTTTCACTGGATTCCATTTCTTTTGCTGAAGTCATCATTTCATGAAATGAAAAGAATCCAGTTAAAACACAGTGCCTAATTTTGGCAGGGTCATAAATTAGAGGGCTTAGAATTACTAGTCTACAGGAAAAAACCCCCAGAGGTATCCATTTCCTTATAGCTTTTTGGGCCTGACCCTTGACTTGCCCACCCAAAGTTGTTTAGGGTCCTCAGCATTTTCCCTTCCTTCCCCTGGCACTCCAAATCTACTCTTACCTGTTAGTCTCTGAGGGCAGAATGCATCCAATAAATTTAATCACATTAAGGTACAGTGACTGACAAAGCCCAATGTGCTATTAGAGTCAGGGGCCCTGCATCATACAGTAAGGTGCCCATGATTTAATGTCCAAACGGAAGCCCTTTTTCTAGGACAAATGCTAAACCGGATGAGATACTGGGGTAACAAGAATAAATCAGGACTGTCCCGGGCAAATTTGCATAATGGTCAACTGAATTGTAATGAAGGACAATTTCTTAACCTAGGAATACACATATCTAAAGGTAGAATTTTGGTATCAGTGACAGAAAAAAATTGCTTTAGAATGTAGGGAACTTTCCAGTAATACTTTCTTCGTTTTACACTATTTAATTTTTACCTCCCCTAAGTGTGAGAAAAACTCTCAATAGCAGAGCTTCTTCCTATCTTTCCATATTGTCACTTCCACTCTGATGTTGCAGAAGTGTCCCCCATTGTGCTGGTCTAGAGTCTAGCAGAGTGACCTCTAGTAGGAGTTTTGGTAGAGGTTCTGCTGTTGCAAACTGCTGTACACATAGTTGGTCTCCAGTTAACATTTGTTGAGTGAATTGGAAAGAATAAAAATAATTTCCCATTTTAGAATTTGGGTCCCGAATAGAAGAATAATTGTACTATCCCCGACAAAGAAAATAATAGTGTATTATTTATACTATAATATAAAATAAGAGCTTACCAGTGAAAAGTTACTGGAGAAAGAGTAATTTAGTTTGGAAGTTTCAGGAGGCAGTGTCAGAACAAGGACATTTTTCATATAGTCAGGGGCTACGGCATAGTCCTCAAAGTAGTAGTCACTATAATAAAAAGCACAGGTTCCTTATGAAAATTAAGTTCCTCCAAAACTAGAGATGAACCTTCAGCCATTCACACAAACTATAAACACTTGAAAATAGTTTAAAACATTTTTTTTTCCAGTAATCTGCAAAACTTTCTACTTCCCCCTGATAGGGTTATTTTCTTCTGTGCTTGCAAGTTGAATAAGAGAACTTAGGCAGCTATGGTTAACATAAACGCATGGAGAGGAAAATCAAAAAACAGATACTTCTTTGAGGGAGATCATTTGGGCTCTGGATATGTGAGCTAGTACTTGCTTTCAAGGATTGGTTTATAGCTGGAAGCTTTCTCTTCTGTAAGTGCTCTTAACAATTTAGGGATATTGGGACATGGAAGAGAGAAATTTTATCATTCAACTTACTTTTCAGATGGTGAAACATAACCATAAAAAGAATAACCATTTTCTCTAACACTGTTAGCTTCTTGACATATGGGACATTAGCTCACTGATCTTTGTATCCTCAACTCTTAGACAATGCTTGGCACTTTGTAGACTCTCAATACTGTCTGAGATTACTGGGAAAATCATATGGTTCTAAGCTTCCTTATTTGGATGTTTTAATATGCAAAGAATTTAACATATTTGAACTGCTATAATTAGGGTGATCATTATTTAATCTTTTTTAAGATATAGGGGTCTCACTATGCTGCCCAGGCTGGTCTTGAACTCCTGGGCTCAAGTGATCCTCTGGGCTCAGCCTCCGAGCAGCTGGACAGGCACATGCCACCACTCCTGGCATATTTAATATTTAAACACTTCTACTATGTGCTAAAGACTATGTTGAATATTTTGCTCCTATTATCACATCTAATCCTAGAAGCACCCCTATAAAGAGGACATGTTAATTCTCATTTTACAAATGAGAAGACTTAATCTCAAGATGATTAAAAAAAAAGAGTTAAAAGAATCAGGAGTGTTAAAATTAGAATTTCAACACAAGTTATGTCTAGTTTTGAGTCTCATGATCTTTCTAAAACATAGCAGGTATCCTTTGGGAATAGCGGCAAAGGAATGTCAGCACTTTGGTGGTTGATTGAGGATTTGCTGAAAGTAAAATTAAACCAACCTGGCTACCCTGAGGATTCCTTCTAGAGGGCAAAGCACATATTGAAATCAATATGGTTACTGGAGTGAAATATTGATAACTTTGCCCTCTTTTCTGTACTTCTGTAACTAAAAGGCTATGTTGGTTGATAAATTATCTTCATGACCATCTAGCCAACAAACAGGACTATAGTTCCTATGCTTCATTTCCCTTCATGCTGAAGTACAGTTAGTGTAGGTGAAATGACCAGGCAAATTATGGGAAAGTTCTAGAGCAGTAACAGCCTCTGGACTGAATACAGACAGGTAATGATTAATGATCCGGTCAGATAAGTGAAATCATGTGATGCAGCTGCTGGAGACAAGGGACACAGGCACACCAGTGACACCTTCTTTAAGCCTAACTGGACTCTAATATTTCCGTGGTACAGTTTGTTAGTGGGGTCTCCACCCTCATCAGAAGATGAGCGGTAAAAGATGGGATGTGACAAAAGGTGGTTTCTGCTCTCTGAAATTTTCTCTCCTTAGTCCCAGAGAAGTGTGGAGGAAAAGATCACTACCTAGTGACTGTGCTACAGAGGACAAAGAATAATTGTGTAAATCAGACACATAAAACTGAAACTCTATTCTTATCAGAGGTAAAAGTAATCTAGGACCAAAGGCCATTAGCAAAGGAAGGGAAAATATGTGGCCCACAGTCCCAGGAATAATATTATTGAGTCATTAGTTGATTTCTCATCTCCTGGAAATCAGGATCCTAGGTTGACTGAATAGGTCTCGTAAATGAATGGATATTTGGATTTAATGGGGTTTTTATAAAACTTTTATATGTAGACATGATAGAGGTGTCAAAGGAATGCATCTCTGCCAGGGTCACAATAGATTAAATAAGAATGAGTCTGTGATTAAGAAAGAATGAGACTTTGGTTCAAATATTATCATTATACTGAACCCTGCAAGAGGCTATGTAAAGCAAGAGAAGAGAGAATGTCTTCTGTAAATCCTTGGAATACTTCCTTTTTGAAAGGAGGTAGTTTCTTCCAAATATTATACCTACTTGAATAGATCCACTAGGATAATGACAATGTCTTCAGCCTCTTCTTGGTCATCCTTGAGGTTGTTGATGGTGTCTGGTGTTCCGCACACAACGATCACTGGAGAAGAGAGCAAGGCACGGAGAGAAATATATGACGGTCTACACACAAACAGGGAAGGAACCAGTTGCCAGAATTTGAACCCAGTATGTACATGTTACATTTTTTTTTTAAGATTAACACCAATTGCTCAAATCCCCCCTCCCTTATTTTATTTTATTTCTTTTACAGTTATAGAGTCAGAATAGAGCAGCATGGGATCTTTAAAAAAAAAATCACCTAGCCCATTCCCTTAATTTTATAGATTTAAGGAGGCTGAAGCCAAGATGCCAAAGGGTCAAAGAACCAGTAGATGACAAAGATAGCTCTAGTGGTCAAGTTTGCGAGTCTTGGTTTAGTGTTTATACCATTATAGTAGGCTGGAGTGGTTAGAAAAGCTATTTTCATAGAGAAGTGATGTGCACCTCACTATTTGTAAAAGTGGTTGAAAAAGATATAGTAAAAGTGAATGTGAGAAGAATTTATAAAGTCTTCCTAAACAACTTTCCTTGGGCTTTGTCTCTAGCTTAACTTAAAACTCCATCTTAGTAATTTCAGTGACAGAGTCCAATCTGAAGCTCTGCCACAAATTTCAGCCAGCTGCCTACCGAATGCACGGCTTTATGAGTATGAGGAGTTTGGGGGACACTTCAGTAGAGCTTTTTTATATCCTGTGCTGTTTAGTTGAATTGTAAACTCTTTAGGGACATGAATAATTTTATACTTCTTCTCCCTCATATCTTGGTTAATGTTTTTGCAACTGGTTGATTCTTAATAAAGCAAATGCTTGATAATGGCAGTACATGATTTGAGTGATATCAAGAAATCTGTCAAGCAAGAGTCTTCCCTTGTAGGAAATTCACACAACTGATTCCTTTGCTCCTGATATATTCTTGTTTATAGACAGAACTATGTGAGAAGTATAACAAATCCTCTAATAACTTAGGATAATTTTATCCCATTAGCCTTGCATACTTGGCCTCTAGCTGGGAGATCATTGGGCAAGTGAGATACAGAAAGATTAGGAAAGTGAGACAATTTTTGCTTTTCTTATAATTTTTCCTGAGGCCATATAATCAATAAATTTATCCTTGGGGACCTGGGGGATCAGAATGTGTGAGCATTAGTCACAAATCCAATAATATGTTGGATGGAGATGAACTTAAAAAGCAGTTTACTGATGGTGGGTCATGATATTCTTTTGGTTTATAAAAGCTGGAGTTTAGCATTATCATTACTTTCACTATGTTAATATATTTATCCATACTACTTTTGTATTTTCTCTCAGAGTATAAGATTTTAGTCAATGAAAGGAATGATACAATGGAGTTGCATGCAACTATACATCTTCTCCAATATACAAAATACATACAGGTAATGATGATAGCTCTGCAGTGGCAGATTTGTCAAAGTAACTCATAAGCAGGTGGTACTCATGAGGAAGAAATTGGCAAAAAAAAATCTTCATGTTTTCGTACCATTGCTTTTCCTATTATTATCTGTTAAGAAAGCCTGAAACTGCTCCTTTTTTCTCAACGTGTCCTTAAAGTTGAGTTCCTGGGAAAAATAGGAAACTCCAGCCTCCAGAGCATTGAGGTACCTAGAACAGGAAAAAGAGAAACTAAGAAACCAGCTTCGATCTCTCATGGGCTTCTAGCCTTTCACTTATTATTTGCAGATCTCTCCTGGGACTTGTTCATTTAAAATTCATTTCTGCTATTAACACAATAGACAGTACACACCATGGAACCACTAGTTTGGATTGTGAACATCTAATTTAGTGAATGTATGGGGGAAATTTTAGGGAGTCTTCCTGTATACATACAAATAGTAGACATTTGGTGGGTCCCTTATGATGGCTTCCTGCTCTTTGCAGAAGGAAGGTTCTACTCTGCTCTATAAATCAGTCCCATTATCATGGATAAGTTGAAACCTTTGAATCCACAGTGCAAAAATTGAGAACTGATAGGAATAAGTTCTACTCTTATGTGAAATGGACTTTTGTGTGTTCTAAGTTCACCCCAAAGTTTTTAGGATGCGGTCTTAGGGTTGATTGCTGCAGTTCCCTAGATGTGACCTCTCGTGGTTTTCCACCTTAGTCTTCTGCATACTTAGGTGGAGAGAGACTGTGGGACTAAGTAGCATCCTGGAAGTAACAGGCAGTAACCCAACTAGAAGATTCCCTCTGCCACTTTTGTTGGAGTTGAGTGAACCTTGCAATTTTCTTTTAGCAATGGAACCCATTATTTCTGTTCTCCCTGCCCCTTGTGCCTCTGAAAAGGTGTGAACGAATTTTTTCTTTCTGAGTACTTGTAGGTGTGAGCAGAATGCACATTCTCTGGTATCATATCTTACACAGCGATGCGAAAGCACTAACTTGTGGTTTCATTTTCCTTATCTGTAAAATGGGGATCATATTACTTGTTTTCTTCTCTTCAGAGAATTTTCCATGGGGAATCAATCAAACTAATGTGAATGTACTTACAAAACTAGAAAGTGTTGCAAATGCAATGTGTGCTGATTATTTTTACAACTCTATATTTACTTTGGCCCCTTTGCTTCTACATGAGTGTAAGAAAGTGGGCTTGTGTCCATTCCCAACACTGTTATATGCGATAATAAGCAGGCGGCTTGCCATGAGTCTATGGCTTCCCTACATAGCAAGTGCTAGCAGAATATTAATGATCCTGCTTACCAGAAACAGTCCTCAGACTCATTACCATCCTTGTAAACATATGAAGAGTTCCAGGAAAATGTTTTAAATGGCAGATCATTGGCCCTCCAAAAGTTAACCAAGAAGTACATCAATTTCCTGGCTGGAGACATCAGCCTGGTTAAGGTTTCTTTATAGTCACATGACAATCCAAAACTTCCAGCTGAAATCATGGGGTAGCTCAATGCTGTGTCAAGGCTATGCCAAGAGGTGAGAAAGAAACCAGTGTCAGGATTAACTTAAGCAGTACAAATAAGCTCCCCCTTTAACCTGTTTCAGCATGCGTGTGTAAGCGGTAAGAATGACATAAGGTCATTAAAGCAGTTTTCTCATTTATATAGGTGTCCCTCCCACACAGATGAATTTAAAAGCAACATTCATTGAGTAACATGCTATGTTTCAAGCACATCGTAGGTGGTTTCATAAATATGAGGCTTGGTTGATTTTACTTATTCTAAAATGAGTTGTCATGATATCTGAGCTGGCACATAAGGGCTTTGGGAAGTAGTGCTAAGAAAATAGAGGATGGGCCACCACAGCTACCATTAACTGTTGTACAGCCAGAAAGGTGCCATCTTCACTTTTCCCTCCATGCATTCATTGCCTTCTTCCCAGCTCTGCTCTGGACTACCTTTGAGACAGACATCAGCTGAGGCTTTGAGAGGCTTTCCTTCCCCTACTTGTACCTTCTTGTAGTTTCCTAAATAAACCAAGCTTCATTCCCAACCAGGCCTTCACAAATGCCAGGAACGATATTCCCCTGCCTCTTTGCCAGAATGACTCTTACTCATGTCTCAGGTCCTAGATTACATATCGCTTTATCTACCAGGAAAACTTTCCTTGATACCTAAGACCACGTAATTATTTGGGTGAGTCTCTGTTTAATATCTGTCTTCTCCACTCTACCGTAAGCTCCTTGAAGGCAGGGGTTGTGCCTGGCTGTTCACCTCGGTATCTCCAGTCTGCCTGACTTGTGGGTTGATGCTCAATATGCATTTCATGAAAGAAGGAAAACAACATCCCCTTCCATCTTCAGGGCTCCATGGAAAGGCTTTATTGGGTGTCCTGCTTGCATCTCAAACTCACCGTGCTCATAGTCAGATTTATCATTTCTTATTTTCTTCAAAACTGCTCCTTACCCTGATTTTTAAATTTCTTCTAGTGTTCTGATATCTCAAAGGCTTCTTTGACTTCTCTCCATCCTTCACCCCAACAGCCAATGTTATCAAATACTATTGATTCGACCTTCCAATATCTTTGCAGCCACCCTCCTTTTCCATGCCCACAGCTTTCTCACTGATTTAGGCCCTTCTACCCTGCTGACTTTCCTGTCGTCAGTCCCTGCCTGTGTCTCTCCTACATACTGTGGTCAATCATTCTTCCCAAAGTTGAGCTTCTTCCCATGGCACTCCCAAGCTCAAAACCATAGTAGTTTCTGATGCAAATCTCATGAAATGCAACTTCCTTCACCTGGACTTCCCTCCCATGAACTTCCAAATATGGCCCTACTTAATTTTTGTAGTCTTGTCCCTTTTATTTCCCTATACATTCCCTGGGCTCCAGTAAATACAGACATTCACAAAAGTCTTTCACTTTCCTGCTTCTTTGCTTTTTGCACATACTTCTCCCTTTGCCTGGCTGGAAAGTTTACCCCCTCATCCCTACCCATTAAAATTTTACCCATTCTTCAACACACAAAAGATACCATCTCCTTCGTGAAGTCTCTCTCCTCTTGAAGCTTAGCCCCCTCAACCAGAGGTGACCCTTTTCTTCTGTGCACCCTGAAGCTTCTTGTTTGTACTTCTCTGGTGGAATCTATCTCACTCTGCTTTGTATTGGTCACCAGAGCCCTTGGCACCTTCTCTATTTGTCTAGGCAGAGGCTGTGTTTTACTTAATTCTCTCTACTGTGACAACTAAAATGCTTCTTTGCACATAGAAGGGCTTCATCAACAGTGAAGCAATTTTCCCAATCCTCCTTTCCTTCTGATCGTACTCAATACCAGTATTAGTAAGTGATCAGAGGACAGCTGGGAATGAGTGCAGGAGGAGTAAGATGCTGCACCTGTCTGCATTTTGGTACAGAAGCCGGGCTCAAGAAGTGCTCCTGTGTCGTGCCTGTGGCATGTGGTGGGCCCGAGCATCCGAGTCTGTTTGTACTGTGGGTGCGAGGTGTCAAAAGCAAACATTGCAACAGAAATTTCAAAGGTCTGTTTACTCTCCAAAATCTATTGCAAGGGCTCCTTCTGCACAATTTTCTCTGTGTAGACGAGGGGTGATTCTTGATTCAAGGTCAGATTGAACAGGTGGAAGAAAGGCACGTGAGAGGGATTTTGATTGGCAAAGGTGTGATCAGGGTAACAAAGTGTTTTGTGCTGTGCAAATCACACTGCGTGAAATGGATGGAAGGGATAAGAGTGCTTTTCCCAAAGCCAGAAAAATATATTCATTCTAAAATACATTGAAAGCTTTTTTCTAAGATGGTAAGAGTACTGTACCAAGTACTTGAACATGTTGTTTATATAATCCTCAGCTCTATGAAATAAATGCCTCGTCATCCTCCCTACTTTCACAGACCTAGGGGTAGAGCAGAACCCGGTTAACATCCTGAGGTGCTGCACTTCCCTTTGTGTTTCCCTGCCTTCTGCGCATACTTCTGTGAATGTTTTATTTATGAAACTCCTCCAGTTGTGCAAGTTCACTGCCTCCCCTGCTTCCTGTCAAAACTCTGACTCTTTACCAATACCACGGTGTCAGTAACTCAACCTGAACAGCTACTGTGATTCACCCCACACTGAGCAAAGATAAAGTTATCTGGATAAGGGAATGAAAGTTATAGAGATGGCAGAATGGTAGAGCCTCAGCACCCCTGATTGCGACGCCTTGACTAGACTGTCGTTTGATGAATCATTTAAATTGCAATGTCATGTCTTGACTTCAGTTCACAGTAATATTAAAACAACAGCAAACCAAACTACTTACTACATCTGGTAGGTGGAATATGTGCATGAGGGCCCCATGAGGACACAGCCCATGTTTTTTTCACTCTGTAGGAGAAGAAAAAAACCACAACTAATCTCTGAAACTAAAAAAAAATTATTTGATGGACAGGAAAGAAGTGGCAAGGGGCAGCCTCCCAGATTAGAAAGTGGGCCTCCCAAAATGCCTGAGCACAGAGCAGAGAGGAGCAGCATAGGGTGCCTTGGACTGCGCAGGGCCAGCCAAGGCATGGAGAGGTCTGGGAGGGAAGAGATGCTGAGAGTGGAGGGGAAAAGTGCTCTGCAAAGGTGGGCTGCCTGCAGGTGAAGCTGTATTCCTTATCAAACGGAGGATGGGAAGAAGTGGCAAAGGGACTGGCAGGCTGTACCATTAGCGGGATCTGTAGGCCAGATTGTGGGGAGATGAAATTTGGAGGCGCTTTTGAAGGGAGAGGGCAAGTTTCAGTTTGAGGGAGAGCTACAAAGCAGGGCCACAGAGAACAAAACGCAATGTGATCGATTGGGTCATTATTGATCTCATTTGCTCCTATTTCTCAAGGGAAACCTGGTTAGGAATATCCCACCCCTGGTTTTGGAGAACCAGGGTATACCTCTCTCTGTAGAGGCAGAAAGAAGAAGCACACACTCCTGGAATTGTGACGTGGAGTTTATAAAACTACCCTTACCCACTCCTCACCCTCCCAAGATGGAGAATCACTGCTGTGGTCAGCCACTCTTCTGGACATGAGTATGGCCTATCTGGTCGGTGTGATGTTATTGATTGAAGTTTTAGAGCCATGGCTCTACACCCAGTGCTCTGCTTAGCTCCTGTGGTACAAGGGAGGGGGTGCCTTGCACACCTACTTATCTTTAGAGAGCTTGTGACACTCATTAGCTCCTTAAAGCTCTGACTAGGGCTAGGGGTTTGGAGTTGGGAGGAGCTAGACAAGAATCTCTCTTCCCATTTCCATCCTCTGACATGCGGTTACTACTTTAAATCAGGCTGTCAGATTCAAGCCTTAAGCAATTAATTTGTGACGTGATATATGGTGATGACTGGAAACAGAGATTTCCGGCGTGGACCTTGAAATATATTTTTCAACATGGCTCATCTGGTATTTCTTTAGGGACACAAAGGAAAACCAGTTTAGACCAACATTT